CCTCTGTGTGTCCATGTCCCCATGTCCCACCATGTTCCTGTGCCTCCGTGTGCCTGTGTTCCACCATATCCCACCATGTTCCCATGTCCCACCACATCCTTGTGCCTCCATGTGTCCATGTTCCCATGTCCCACCAACGTCCTTGTGCCTACGTGTGTCCATGTTCCCATGTCCCCCCATGTCCCCATGTCCCCCCATGTCCCCATGCCCCACCCTGTCCTTGTGCCTCCATGTGCCCGTGTCTCCATGTCCCACCACGTCACTGTGCCTCCGTGTGTCCATGCCCCCATGTCCCACCATGTCCCTATCCCCCCCATGTCCCTGTGGTCCCATTCCATCCCATCCCCACGTCCCCATGCCCCAATGTCCCCCCGTCCCCCTGTGCCCATGTCTCCATGTCCCTGTGTCCCCGTGCACCTGTGTCCCCATGTCCCTGTGTCCCCATCTCCCTAGGTCCTCATGTCCCCCTGTCCCCATGTCCCTATGTCCCCATGTCCCAATGTCCCCCTGTCCCCATGTCCCCGTGTCCCTGTGTTCCCATGTCCGCATCTCCCTAGGTCCTCATGTCCCCGTGTCCCTGTGTTCCCATGTCCCTGTGTCCCCATGTCCCAATGTCCCCTGTCCCCTTGTTTCCGTGTCCCTATGTCCCCATGTCCCAATGTCCCCCTGTCCCCCTGTCCCCATCTCCCTAGGTCCTCATGTCCCAGTGTCCCTGTGCTCCCATGTCCCTCTGTCCCCTGTCCCCATGTTCCTCTGTTTCCGTGTGCCTGTGTCCCCGTGTCCCCCTGTTCCAGTGTCCCCATGCCTCATGTCCCTCTGTCCCCTATACCCGTGTCCCTATGTCCTCATGTCTGTCCCAATGTCCCCATGTCCCCGTGTCCCTCTGTCCCCCTTCCCCGTGTCCCCATGTCCCCGTGTCTGTCCCAATGTCCCATGTCCCTCTGTCCCCCATCCCCGTGTCCCTGTGTCCCCATGCCTGTCCCTGTGTCTGTCCCTATGTTCCCATGTCCCCATGCCCTGTGTCCCTCTGTCCCCTGTCCCTGTGTCCCCCCGTCCCCATGTCTGTCCCCATGTCCCCCTGTCCCCATGT